TGCAAAGGATAACATTCATTATATGCTTTACGTTTAGGATAATCCGTCATTGTTAATTTATACCCATTTATGACTTTAATATTTCCTTGACCATCAGTAACAAAGACTTCATTTATTCCATCAGGCTTTCCATTTGGTCCTGTAATGTCTGCTTCATGTGCTTCCCAATTTGGTCCATGACGTTTGGCATATGCTTGAGCTTCTGGTAATGTTAAAACGTTTCTCATTTGTTTAACATCCTTTTGAAGACCGGCAACAATGTGGACTAATTCTTTCATTCCGTCTGGAACTTTCATAGTTCTATTATATGCACCCTTTTTGTTTGTTCCTTGTTTTAATGGAACCTGTAGAAGATTTGCAATTTCTGTCATGTTTAATTATAAATAAAAAATAAAAATTAATTATAAAAAAGTTATTCGAATTTAATGGAACCTTTATTTAAATCAACTATTATTTTACCATGTTCTCCTAATTGTTGATATTGTGTGTAAAGTTCATTAATGCTCATTGGTAAATTCACTTGATAAAGCATAACATTCAACTGTTGACGACTAAAACCACTGAAAATGAAAAGGGTGGACAGGTTTGATTTAATGTTTGTGCTTAATGCTTTAAAGTATTGAACAGCCATAAAGAATGAACACTGAATGTGTCGACATTGAGTTAATAATTGATTAAAATATGATTTCTCATTAGTTATTAGTTTTGATTTCACGGCATCATCTAGAAAAATTAGTGAATGCAAAAATTCTTTATCAAAATTTGAAATAGAAAGTGTTTCAAATAATTCGTCCCTTTGTTTATCAATAATTTTATCCTCTAATCCTTGCTTCTTGATTGTATTATATAACTCTTTATACATTAAAAAGTTTTTCAAATAATCTTCCGCTTCTTCTTGTGATAAATAAATAATTGGAATTTTTATTAAATGCTTTAATGATTCAAATGTATCATCTGAAGGTGAACCTGAACGGTTGATATAAATTAACACATGAGAATAAGGTGAAGTGTTAGCAATAATGATAATTTGTTTTAATATCGTTAATGTTTTACCTTTATTTTGTTTACCAATTGCTGCAGTGATTGAATTTAAGTAACATTCAGAATATGGAATTTTCATTAATTTTTCCTTAGATAGAGCATTTTTATTATCACTCAATGCTTCATTAATCATATCATCTATGTATGTATTATATACTCCTGTTAATTCTTCATAAGGGGTGGATGAATTGAAATCCATTTAATCAAAAATAAATTTATAATTTTAAACATTTCTATTCATCAATATTTCATCATATGAACTTCTATACTGTGGTGGTGTACCTGTTGGATGATATTTCAAACCTTCGTCCGGTGTCCATGTCCAATATGTAGTCCTAGTAAACCAAACCTGAGGAGGATTTGTCACCTTTGAACAGTAAGTGTCATTTACACCCTGAATGATTGGATAAGCTTTCACTTGTACTGTAACTTGTGAGTTGAAAGTTTCTAATCCATCAAAGAATATACCCGCTCCATCACGTTGAACTGGAATAGTGCATAAGAATGAAGTTTGGTCTTTCCATGTTCTAGCTAATGGCGTACCATTATCATCATTCAGTGGTCTAGTTAATGAGTCCTCGTATTCTTCTGTGCATTCATTCACTCCATCTAAATCAGAAGCTTGAAGCATACGTGTAAAGAATATGTCACCCACTGTGGTCATCGCTTGATCGGGGAAGTTTCTGGAATCTATAGTGACCTGAAGACCTCGAAGCATTGGATTTTCTAAAACCGTTCTTTGCATTGCATTCTTCGGAAATGCTAACACAACATCTGTAACATTATGAAGAGCGTATGAGAAATCAGAACTGATACCTTCAGGAGTGATGCAACCTCCATTTAGTGAACGAACGTCAATATGTTGAGCTGGAATCATGAATGGATCTTCCTTACTGAATAAACGTGGTATTGCTTTAATTGATTCTTCAATTAAACCGTATCCTGGTGTAATGCATTTATCCTCTAAAACTTCCATCTTTGTGCATGAAATAATAACGTCTTCAACTGTTGCGTCAGCAGATGTAGCGGCTAAGCTTGTAATTAATTTTGCAGGAAGTCCGATTTGTTGGAATTTGCGATCATATTTATAAACATGATTCATAATCTTTTCATAATTTTCATCAGTTATCTTTTCATAAACGTAATTTTGTAAATCAGCAACTCTTAACGGGTCAACCTGACAAAATACTAAAGTATCCCTGAAAACATAATATTTCAAAATGATTTCACCAAATGATTTGGGATAATCATCGAACGCCTGAAATGCTAACAAATCATTTACCGGAATAATCATATCAAAAGTGACATCAACTTCTTCATTTGCTTTAGTGAAAACTTCTGAAGGGTCAATATATTTTCCACATACTGAGTTATCATATTTTTGAACATTATTATATAACGAATGAACAAACTTTTTAACTTTCCTTTCTGATTTTGGTTTATATGTTGCAAATGCGAAAGATTCACGGGCGCAATCCATCTGAAGATAACCGGCATCACCTCTTTCGGTTTCTACTTCTAATTGTTTAAAGCTTTGATTTGATGATTTATAACCAACGAATAAACGCATGCATTTAAAAGCGGCATCACATGTGAAAGCTTTATTTGAAACTAGAGTTGCTTTAACTTTGCGTTTAATATATGTGTCACCTAATTGATTCACATCATGAGCCGGATTTGTAATTCTTAAATGAGTTTGTTTATCATCAAAATATGGAGTATCAGAGTCATAGCATGAACTTTCAAGTTCTCTATAATATCTTCTACCGTCATTCTTTGCGAATATTTCATTTATCTTTTCAAATGAATGAAACACATTTCCATTAATTGGTTTAGTGTTTGGCACTAAATAGTTAGTCGTCATTTATGATGAAATAAAAAAATCAAAATTAAAAGATGAAAATGAATTTTTAATTTTAATGAAATAATCAACTATGGCGGCAGGATTCTTTAAAAAGTTATGGGATAAAGTAAAAAGAGGAGCGCATAAAGTTTGGGAAACAAAGAAGAAAGGAGCAAATTGGATATTTAAGAATAAAGAAGCAATTAGTGACGTTGCAGAACAAATAGCACCTAATGTTCCGGTAAGGGAAGTATTAAATAAAGGAGATAAAGTTTATCAAAGACTACAACCGATACTAAGATAAAAATAATATTTATTTATTTTTCCACTACTTTCCTCCTATTTTATTAAGTATTCCTTCAGCAATTCCACCAACTGCGTTACCTGCTTGTGCTCCCATCGCTGGATTACCTGCTTTAGCACCTAATACTCCACCTATGATAGTTCCTGCCGTTTTCGCTACTGGTGCCAAAAAGTTTGCAATGGGTTTAATAATCTTTTGATGAACCCAACTTGCAGCTTTCTTAATTCCTTCCCATAACTTTTTAAAGAATCCTGCCGCCATTTCTGATTTAATATTAATTAAAAAATATATTTCATCACTTATATTCTAATTTTTATTTAATGATAAATGAAACCGATTTTAAAAATAAATGAAACAGAGGAGGAAGAAATAAGTGAAGATGTTCAAAATAAAATAAACATTGTTAAACCCATTACTGAAACAAAAATTTTTTCATCTGTTGAAGAATTTAATGACTATTATGCTAATAATAAAAAATTATTTGAAGAATTGACAACATGTAAATTGAATAAAATGTTTAAAGTTGATGGATTCAAAATTTCAAAAATAAAAGGTGTTGTTAGTTTGAAATCTATTCCTCAATCAAGAATCACCGCATTAATGAAAATTGATGATTTAACAAAAAGAATAGAAATTATTGAAGAAAGAATAAATCAAATAATTGATATCATAAATCATGACTCGTTGAGCCCGGGTCCTTAAAGTCCATCACTGAGTTCAAGGTTATATTCATCAAATATTTCATTATTAAATGCAACTTCTGCTAGTTTATTTATTTTTTCAATACGATCATTTGAAAGTCTATCGTTTAATTTTTTCTGAAGTTTTTCATTTTCTAGTTCTGAAACTTTATTTGGATGATATTTAAACCCGTTAAATTCTTTTTCCTCAGTTTTGATCATTAATTTACAAAGAACTTTTGTGGTTGGAATTCGTTTAAACCATTTATCATTAATATTTGTTATAAATTCAATATTCGGAATTAATTCCCAAATTTTTGCATTTTCAATTAATTTATTATCAATTGCAAAAGCAATAGGTTTAATATTAAACTTACCTTTATAATATAAACTTTCTACATAATCATCGAAATAAACATCTACTTGTTTAACATTTTCAAGAATTGGTGAAAGAGCATCCATTAATTGATTGACGGTTACGAATCTTGATCCACTCATTTTCTTACGAATTAAAAAAATAAATTATTCATAAATGTCAGAAGAAAATATTTAAATAAATTATTTAAATTTTTTTACTCTATTCAAGAATTTTATTTTTGATATAACTCATTGAATTCAAAATTTTTTAAAAAATTGACACCATATTTGGAATCTATGCAAAAATATATTCTTTTTATTAATGATAATATAGGAATTGTAGGAATAAAAACTTTTTATAAATTATTCATAAATTTTTAAAATCTGCTATTCGGAAGTATGTTCAAAAATCATTCAATTATGTGAGAATTCTTACGATTACAAAAAAGGTCACACAACCCGCACTCATATACTACTTTTTTTAACATAAAACATAAGTATGCTGAGATCTTGTGGTTTTAAAAGAACATCTAACAAATGATCAAAGGTTAACATATAACAAACATTAGATTAAAGTTTATCAAAGATTCATAATAAAATAATTAAATTCTTCTATATAAGTCATTGTAAAGACAGCAAGTCATTGTACATTTGTTGAAATGATTTTGAATCTGAAACAAATGTAAATTTAAAATAATAATAAAATTCATGATTTTAAATAGAGCTTTTATAAACAAAATAAGCATTAGTATAGTCTTAATATATAGATAGAGATTTATGGTACATCAACCCGGAAATATCTTTTGAAAAATTGTTGGTAAATGAAAGCAGAAATTCCGCTTCCAACAAGTCTCGAAGCAAATGGAACAACCGGCCAATTTGAGTTAGTTTGGTTCCTAATTCCACTGATTCCTGTAAGTCCTTCAGCGAAAGCGAACATCTGAGGTGTATGATGCTTAAGAACCTCTTTAAAGGCCATTCCTGTGTTCCCTTCCATGGCGCTTCGTTGAATTGTATGAATATTGTAACATAATGCTGTTGCGCAGCGCTCAGCAAGTGGTTGTTGCTTGGAGCTAACAGCACTGGTCATCAGTATTATGTTCATAAGGTCGTCCTTGTCGAAATCTGTAATAGGATGGTACCTTTCAAGGGCGATTTTGCCATTTCCGAACAAAATATTGCTCTTATCAATATTGGGAACAACAACGCTATGTCTAAAGAACATAGATGAGAAGAATTCTGTCAAATTATAACCAATAGATTTTGTTATCGGTAATTGGCTGATGGCTGGAGGCTGTCTGGAGGTAACTAGAATATTGTCTCCGCTCAGTTCAGTGTTTGGAACTGGAATTGTTACTGGTAAATTTAATCTTTCGACTTGAGCAACGATTTCTTCGAAATTCGATTCTGGATCGATACCAAGTTTCTCAATGAGCTTCATTCTTGCGGAAATTTCTTTAGAAATATTCCATGAGAACCTGTTGATGAAAGAATTATATAAATCTCTCTGAATTTTCATGAACGGAAGGATGTTAAGCGGTATCTGTAAGAGTCTGAATGGTATCAAATCGATTTTTCTCATTCTGTCAACGTTGGGAGGTATAATTGTGATAGTTACTGGAATTCCGTTTCTTAAAACGCCATCCCTCTTAATAATGGAAGGAGAAGCGGAAAGAGTAGCTGATATTTCGCGGAATATATTGAAAAAATCATAACCTGTCTGCTTCCTGAAGAGTTCTTTGATTGTTGAAACTGGATATTCATTCAAAGTAAGGTGATTTGACTTCTTGCATACTGGATAACTCGTTGTGATTGCAGTAAGCGCAGCAATTTTAGCATTTGGTGGAAGCGAAAGTAAACTTTTTGCGATGAACTGATGAATCTCTTCATAAACACCTCCATTCAATCTTAAAGTCATCATTAATCTTGTATAAAATCTTTGTGTGGCTGCAGCATCATTGAAAATGGTCGAATTTGGCATTAATTTGTTGGCTAACTTACTAAATACAATATCGGTCGCTGAATAGCCTAACGTTGTTGTAAATCTACTAATATGGAATACACCGGCAAATAATTGACGTATCAAATAGCTTGAGTCTTTGCCTCCAATGATCCACCAACCAAGATTTCCAGTGGAAACCGCAGATAATCCGTCAATCGCTTTATCATTGAGAAGCTTGTTCTTTCGAGTGAAAGTATCAATAAAATAAAATCTGCCAAAATGGAATAATTGATTCTTCAAAAAATTCATTGGAAAATTGATTTTTGACAATGTAAAATTATTTTGTAAATTAATGACAAAAATGATTAAAACGGTTTTGACAAGGCATAGTGGCTGAAGAGAATTCGGTGAGGGTACCATACTGAATGGGTTCTCCATTCTTCATCCCTCGGGAAAGTCCCCAGACAGTTAGCATAAAGTGCAGGCCGTGATGGTGACCAATGACTTCGCTGGGTTTAAAGACCTTGTCGTTGTGCATGTCTGCTCGTAGAGTTATCGAATTGGGTTCTTCGGAATCTACCACAATGGGGCTCACTCCTTCAGCCATTATCACCTTTTTTTTAATTTTAGAGGCCAATTGCAATCTTTTTTTTTATATTTTATTATTTTTTGAATATTCGTTTTATGAGCTGATCTCAAAAAATTACATGAGTTAATGAAAAGTTTGTATTTAATCAACAAAGTTTTTGGGAATAATAAGTCATGGTCGCTCGGATTTCGATTACTCTTCGCCTTCTGGCTTTGTAGGAATAAGTCTGTACTCTGGTGGAACTTCATCTTCTGTGTAAAGTCTGTCGGAGAAGTAAATCCGGCGGACACGGCAATTAGCGAAAACTGAAACTCTGAGTGTTTCTATGTAGTTTGTACCATAGGCACGGCGAGTGAAATCGCTCAAGTTGAACTGAATTTGGTTCCAACCTGGGTCGAGTCTCATTGGAAGTGTGCAAACGAATGGTTTAACACGTGTTTTAGATTGGAAATTGGAGGCGCGGAAACGACGTCTCATGTTCATATCATCGAGAACTTGGATTTCGAATGTGAAGTATTTCTTGAGATATTTAAGAACTAAAACCAAGAAAGGAAGCTTAATAGCAAGCTCTTCCTTTGGGTCTATTGGGCATGTGATATATGTGTTATTAACTGTTGTGCTAACAATTTCGAGAACGCAAGAACGGATATCTGGATCTGTAAGTCTTTTAATATAGCCATTTTCAACGTGCTGCTCCCAAATGCTTAATGGCTTGGAACCAACGGAATAGAAAAGGTTCAAGAAACCTGCCTGGTATTTATCTCTGAACATTCAAGTTTGAATATAATAACGTTTTTTGTTTGCTTTGACGAATAGCAACTTTACAATTTTACATTGTCAAAAAATGCTTTATGAAGTTTTTGGAGCATATTTCCTATAATTTGATACAGATATATGCAAATCAAATAAATAACAAAGATAAATAGAATCAGTTTAATTGAATATCAAATTGATAAGGAAATAACTTAGAGTAATGATATAGCACTATTTAAATATATTTTTGGGAGATAACTTGATTAAACATAAATACTGACAATGTGTTGTCTGAAATATATTTAAAAACCTTAGGGCTGTACAAAATCGAGGAAAACATTGCCGTGCGGTAATATAGGGTCAAAAAAATCGCGCCTCGGCGGCTCCGCCACCTCGGCACTATTAAGTGCGCATTATATTTAATATAGTTAGTATACATATTTTCAGTACGGTGGCACTGCGCGCCATCTTACTGAAGATATGTCAATCTGACACTTTACAAAACCACTAACGTATATTTTACATCACAGATGTAATATTTCTAATAACCTTAAACTATTTCTGCCACGTAAAGTATTTATCACATAAACCACCTCATCTCATCTCTCTGTACGTTATATATTGTGCGCAGGTCATTGCCCATGGCAACTCCCCACGACACAATGCACGTGCATGAAAAAATAAACGTTCTCACTAACGTTCACACTAACGTTCTCACTTACAAAAGTATTGCAACTCCTCCCATTGCTGTGCTTCATATAACAGCTCATAATCTTCTGACTCACTTTCTTCTTCATATAGGTCAAAATCACTGTCATAGTTTATACCTGTAAGTTTTGACAAAGCTAATGAAACACGCTTACCGTTTGTATCATATGCTTGTATAAACTTTCCATTATGCTTGTAGTCATAAACGCTCAAACTAACTTTACCCTTTCTCCCTCGTATCTGATAGAATGTATTTTCACGAGGAACGAAGAACAAATTCTTGAACTCATGACCGTTGTAGTTTGTTATCTCAATAGTTTTCGTCATTTATATAAAAATAAAATAAAAAATAAACTTAAAAATAAATGATATCACCACCCTCACACGTATGAAAACATAGCACAAAAATAAATTTAGGGTAGATGGTTAGATCTAACCCGATTTCTAACCTCTTTTCTACCCTGTTGAATTCATTGCTTTATAACTCTCTTCCTTGGTTTCTTTTTAGTTGCTTTCTTCACGTCTGTCTCCAACTTGACTGTCTTTCTTCTTCGGCCGTAATGATACCAGTTACTTCCACCAGTCAATGGGTCAAATGGTCTTTCGTAAGGGTTTCCATACATTCCATAGGGACCATACGGAAGAACTACTGGTGGAGAAGAAACATTTTCTTTAGTTCCATCAACTCTATTTAAATGCATTGTTTCACCTTTCATCTGGTCATTAAAGTCTTTTGCGTGTTTTGCAAACTCATCGTCCTTTCCTAAAGCATTTTCTGACTCAGTCGCAACCAAATTGGATGCTTTATTTATGAGCCCCATTTTATTTAATCTTAACTTCTTTGCAACCCAGCCTCCAATCTTTCCTTTATTTGCATCTAATGTCTTTGAAACCCTTCCTCCACTCATTTTATTTACTGCGTCATAAGCTCCAAGTGCTTTTGCTCCAAATGCTAATGCTTTTGTTTCCATTGCGCCTAAAGCTGCCCAAGCTACCATTTACCCCATATTAAAATCATCTCTCTTCAATATTATCTCATAAAAGTTCTCGTTACTGGAGAAAGTCAATGAAACATAAGCGTTCTCACGGGCTTCGCCCTCACCGCTTTGCGGTCTATCTAACTTATTTCTTATATCATCTATACGCTTCAAAATGTCTGAACAATTGCTAACATCTTCTACAACAGTTATTTCATCATGAATGACCTTCAAGAACAAGCTCATTTAATATGCTATTAAAATCATCTCAATAATGAGTCCATCCTTTCCATCTTTAGGTAGCACAACATCTTTCATTGAAGAAGGTTCGACAAGTCTTATGTTAAACTTACTGACAAAGTTTGTTATACTATAATGCTTTGGCGGCGAATACATATAGTTTGAAAGAACATAATATAGATTCTTCAGCAAATTCACTTATACTGGATTTTATAACAATGTTCTCACGAGACCAAAAATACACCAATTGACAATCTTGTAAGGCAAAATCCTGCTGAACCTTCTACTGTAAACGTCGATGGTAACATTCCACGAAGGTCATCTATTGACATCGTTGAGTCACTGAATTTAAAATATTTCTTAAAGCAATCGTCATTATCTAACCATGCAATAGCTAGCTTTGAAGTTTTCATTCGAATATACATCTGCTTCATTAAATGTAAATCCTGACTTCTTTGCAGAGATGACTTTAAAATCTATTGAGTTTGTTTCAAAATTATATGCTATGGTAACTTCTGAAGGTAATGGATGTCCTTCCGCAGTCAGTTGTTCTCTCACTACCGTTTGAAGCTTTGTGTTAAAAACTTTCATGTCATCTCCTGTGTCTAGGTTCACATACACAGCAACAGGAAAACTATCTTGCTTCTTTGTTTCATCATTATATCTCAAAACATTAAAGTTCTTCAATAATATTGTTCTTCCTGCTGGAATACTTCGAACCTGTCTGATTTCAATAGCTTTCTCACCTCCTACATACTCTACCCAGTGTCTTGGATATTCATAAGTATACTGACTTTCTTGAATTTTGGTTGGTTTCATCAATAACGTGTTCATAGTATATCTTTATACTCTTGTCAGTTAGACTCGGTGCTATGTTCTGAATATTTCTGACTTGCATTTTTAATGGAGATAAAATGAAGCATTTAATACATGACGTAGATGAAGACATGAATGAAACTACAGACAAACTTAACTCTTCTCTTATTCTTCCTTTCAGTAAGGACTATGAGTTCTGTTCAAATGGTGTTTATTTCTATTGTGGAAAGATGGGGTCAGGAAAGACATTTAACCTCATTCGTCATATACTCATAACAGAACGTTTAGGAAATGACTCATATTATGACCAAATCATTATATCAGCAACTTCAGACTCTATGGACTCAACAGCGAAAACATTTATGTCAAAAGTTCAAGCCTCTGTCGTTAAAGTTCCAGACAGTGAACTCATTGAATTTCTTCAACGTTACATTCGACGTAAGAGGAAATATTATGTCATCGTTGAATTTATACAGTCAGGAATGCAAAAGACTTCTGAGGAGATGGAAAGAATTATTGACAAACACCACTTACGTCAATACTCAGGAGTTTACGATATGAAACGACTTACAAACTACATTCTATCAAAACTTTCAAAATACCCCTTCAAAAAGTATCCTTCAAACACTCTTCTCGTTTGTGACGACTTCGCTGGTAAAGGTTTAGTGTCAAAACCAGACTCACCATTAGCTAACATCATAACTAAAGTCAGACATTACCATTTAACTGTAGCAATACTTATGCAAACATGGCGTTTTCTTGCTTTAAACATAAAACGTCTCATAACTGACTTCGTTATCTTTCAAGGTTTCTCACGCTATGATATTGAACTCATTTGGAAACAGTCAGGTATAACATTACCTTTTGAAGAAATTTGGGAAGCATATAAGTCTCTCATCTCTCCTCGTTCATACCTTGAGATTCATATCATGACTAATACCATTAAAGTCAAAAATATTCCATGGGAACGACCAACATTGTTTTAAAGTTTAACCTTCAATTGACTGATGGTAAACAAATTCCATGCATCTCTGTCGCCATTTCTGTTAATATTTTTGCTGATTCATATCATCCACTTCCCCATCCGTTAGCTTTTGAGGATATGCGTTAGAATAGCTGTTCTTAAATGAAGGCTTTTCACCTTTGAGAGCATAAACTCTATAACTTTCTGCATACTTTATGTTTGAACCTCCTGAGCCATCATTGACATAAATTTTTATAGGCTTCCACCCTTTGTTCATATTCCTGCTTCTTCCCTTTGCTCTTTTGTTCAGTAGTTCTACATCTTTATACACAGCACCTGTCTCAGTGAATTCAACAATATTTTCATTCGTTAGCTTTACATTCAAACCCTTGTCGAGTATATTGTTCATTTCATACATATAAAAGGTTTTTATTCTATATGAAATGAGAAGCAAATCCATCTTAGCTGGTGCCGTTAATGTTCCAATTGAACCAACATCAAATGTTGACTCACGAACGACAAACAATATTGTCATAAAGAACTATAGTTCGGAGTGTTTGAAAGAAAAAGAACCAGATCTTAAGTCGGTGAATTTAAACTCAGCTTCAAACGCTAACGCTACATCAGATGTTAAGTTAGAGTATCCACCACTGGACCAAATTCTTTCAAGAGAAGCCAACGACAACCCTTACACAAATGTTCAAACAAATCCTTCAGATAACGTAGACCATTACCTTCTTCAGTTATACCAAACAATTTTACTCAAAGACGATAAGAAGCTTTTGACAAATCTTATAAGTAAGAACCAAATAATTCTAACAAAGGAGGACCTTGAAAATGTTATCTCACGAATAACAGGGAAACAATGTGTCATTGACTATCTTGACCCTGAAATCGAATGCTGTGGTCAAACTCCACTATTCATGAAAATAGGTAACATCCGCATCATTGAAATACCAGGTACTCCAGGAGTTGAGTTTAAGTATAGATATTGTAATGCATGAAAAATAGCGTGACTTCATTTTTGACAGTTTACAAATGTAAAGTGTTGCATCCTTAAAAACTTGGAAATATATACATTCATGAATTATCTTGTATATTAATTGAAAATCCATAAAACCCTAACAATATTTTTTTCTTAAAAAAAACTATAAAAATATAAATAAAATTAATCGTTAAATAAAAATATTTGATATTAGAATTTTATTGGAAAAATAAAAAACTTAATATTTTAAAGAAATACTTAAATACTTGAATGTTTTAACTTTTACATTATCATATAGACTCTCAAATTATTGATTGGAAACGGTTTGAGGGTTATCAATTTAAAAAAAATTGTGAGTTTTTTAGATTTTTGGCAATGTTAAACGGTTAATTTTTTCTCAAAAAAATATTTCGAATTTCCGAAATTTTTGACATTTTGGCTGAGAACTATGGTCTGCGAGGTACATAGATAGAATCAGTACCTCGCAGACTATAGTTCTCTATATGGCGCCGAAAATTTTTAGTGAAATGTCGTCACATTTCACCAAAAATTTTTCGGCGCCATAGGAAGAATTGGAGGGTGTGAGATACTATTACATGCTATAGTACTCACACCCTCCAACTCCCAATCAAAATCGCATAAAATTTGATACTTATCTTCAGATTACCTCCCATTATAAAATATATCATTGCTATCTCATCGTACTATATTTCCACCCTATTGTATTTAAAAATATAAAATTTTTTTGATAATATATTTTTATATCTTGAATTTTCAAACAATATATTCACAGATAATATAATGGAAAATCTATCTCAACCTAGCCTTAAAGTACCAAACTCCTGCTTGCATTCTCACTCACAAATATTAAACATCCATCTCCAAAAAACTAAATTCTTCACAATTTTTTTAAAATTGAGAACATTAAAAACGTATGCATTCAATAATTTAAGATACTAACAAATATTACAAACTTCAAAATATCAGATATTAACGTTTTTCAATTAAAAAATATCATTTTGCTTTTCAATTCGAACATAAATCTTAAATATTTTTAATTAATATCTGATTTACAGCATTATTATCCATTTATAAATCTGACAAATAAATGACAAAACCATCAGAAATAGCGCCACTTTTTGTCAAAAGTGAAGTCACGCTATTTTTCATGCACAACAGATATTCAAATGAGTATACAAAACTATCTACTTACTATAAATTATGTCTTAAATATGTTTTAGTAAATTAAAACAGTCAGGAGGCTCTTTGAGCCCATCTTGGCGCTTTGCGCCGTTAGTCAAAAAAATTTTCAAGTTAGCAATTTGTAATATCTATCCAAAACTTCTTCAACAGTATCGAACTCATCTTCATAATGCAAACCTAATCTTATTGACTTGGTGCAGTTTTCACTAACACAATATTTTTCTGTTCTCTTGACTGACATAACTAACTCATTTGTTTCATCAAACAGCAACAACCAAAGTTTATGACCTAATACATAACATTCATACTTTATATTTTTAGCTCTGAGTTCTCTTGTAAGCCGTTGCATTTAATATTTTCTAAAAAGTCAACTTCAACAGTCATTCGCACTGGTGCCTTCAGTTCTACAGGCTCTCCTTGAAAGTCAACAAGTCTGAATTGCATGTCTTTCAAATTATGAGGACTAATGCGAACCCATTTACCTAAATGAGTTGCTGTGACAGGAACGTTTGGAATGAACATTGAATTGACTGCATAACAGAAAGACTTATATTCTACTGAACCTTTACTATTAACTCCTGAAATACCTGTGACATTAGCTATTTTAGACTCAATGTACAAACAATTACCATAACATACGTATGGAACAGATTTCATCTCAATCGTTTTGTCAACACTTTTCAAAGGAAATGTCATATGGTATGCACCCAAAAGAAGTTGTACTCTATGACTCATTCTTGGTATCTTAAACTCTTTCTCGCTGCTGAACTTCAATGTTCCCTCAGAAGAGAGTTCGACATCTATGTTGTCAATAGTTTCTTCATTTATGAGAGCATTTAACACTCCAGCAATTTTATCTATTCTATACCCAGCTCTATTAGGAAATGTTATAACACTTCTTTTGTCATCTATTTCAATCTCTATGAAATCTGTTTCATTGTTATGACAAAAGTTGCGATAGTATTGAAGTCAACAACTCTGAAAGCAAGCGCTTCATTCTGAAGACCTAAGTTTGTTTGTAGCTTTACTGTCCCGTATTCGTTTGGGTCTGTACTTTGCAAATAGAACAACATTTTATTCTCATTAAAATATGACTATTGCTGCATATGCGTATGAAACAAATGAAGCAAGAAGAGCACATGAACTAGTAAACGAAAACTCAACTTTAACCATTGAAGGCAATGATTTAGTCATTGACGATGGAAAAACTAAAAAAGTCATTGATTTCGATACTTTTAACACTTATGACCCATTCATTACAACAAGCAAGGTTCCCATCATAAATGATGGAACGGTGCAATATATAAATTCTACAGTAGATGCCTCATTAGTGAAAGTATTAAATGTTCTCATTGAATTGTTAAAGAGCTTTCGATTTGACGACAACATTAAATGCCTAAAGAATTTAGTCATGAATGAGAAACAAATTCTCGGCGTTGCTGGTAGCAGTAATGATGTACACCTTATGACATTAGAATATTATAACGAACATAAAGATGAACTGAAAGGAGAGAAGGGTGACACCGGACCTCAAGGACCACAAGGAATACAAGGACCTCAAGGCGAAAACGGTTTGGATGGTGAAGATGGAAAGGATGGAAAAACTGCTAAATCATGGATATGGAACCTTATAAATACTGGTTTAACAGCTGCTTCATATGGAGTTCTTCAATACCAAATCGGAAAGATATGGGCAGTACTTGGTGAAGAAGTTTTAGATGACGTTAAAAATGCTTTGAACTTCATTTCAAATGGTTCGGATACTATTAAAACTTTATCTGGTTGGATGCAAGAAACAAGGAGTCAAATAGATACTGTAAGACGTATAGCAAACAATGCACGTACGGGATTGGATACTTTACGAGAAGCACAAAATACACTAAAGGAAGCAAATGATATTCTTGGCTCAGTATCAGACATGCATGAAGATTGGCTTAAAGGTATTGACAAATCTTTAAAAAATCACAGTCAGTCTATTGCTGACTACAAGAAAAGTATAGATTTTTTACATAGTGCTATGGACGTACATGATGGAAGCATAAGGAACTTACTTAATGCTAACAATAACTTACCAGGAACTATTAAAGCATTTATAAAGTCCTTTGTAAAACCTGGTGCTCTAACATTTAGGTCTTTGAGAGCAAGAGCATTGAAGTCAAGAGATGCAGAAACTCCAACAGAACCTACAGAAGGAACTGAAACAACAGAAACTCCAGAAGAACCACCAAAACCAACAGCTAATGAAATATTGTTCGAATATTTTCCAAGGTACTCTGTTCTCATTGCATATATTCAAGAAATACTTAAGAAAGCAGACTTGACTTTAGGAGATGATGAAAGTTCTGTATATCTTTCGTTCCAGTTTCAAATAGCAGAACTTTTGAGACAGATATGCTTAATGTATGACAACATCTCTGATTTCACAAGATATGATGACGACCATGACCCCGAACACGGTGAAGAAGAAGTTTTACAAACATCCATTAAGACAGGAAAGGTTTTAACTCAAAGTCTCATTATTGACACTAAAGATGGCGAAGTGGACGTTCTTCAAGAGCTGAAGAAAAATACTTCTTCGGGAGGTGGTGGTAGGCATGAACTTGAAATAAATGAGATAGAAGAGAAATTAGCCGAAAAAGCAGATAAAAACCATGTTCATTATATAAGTTCAGACGAACAGATTATAACGGACTACCATGGATATTTAACACAGGATGAACAAATAAGCACTGAAGATGTTAATGAAAGAAGATATAAATTCATTCGTGCTAAAGGTTATGATATACGCTGTACTGTACAGTATGACACAGGTAAAGCACCAGAAGCATTTGGTTATAACGATGAAATTTATGCTTCATACTTCTTTGTTAACGGTGTATTAGTTGAACCAAGATTTACATTGAGAGTTAAGACAAAAATAACCGTTGAAGATGCTATTAAAAGTAAAGCTGACAAAGATGAACTTGACGCAACGAACAAAGTTTTGAAATCTCATAAACACAATATCTCCGATATAAATGAACTTCAAGCTACATTAAATAGTAAAGCTGACAAGAACCATACACATGAATCCTTCACTACTGTTAGAGCAGACGACATAATATTGAACTATACCCTTGGTTCAAGTGCACCATTAGAGAATCCAAGTACAAGCGTAAAAGATACACTAAACTCCTTAAATAGTAAATGTATGAACATTGAAGGTCATGTCAGAAACTTTGAAACACATGAACTACCAGCAATGTTAGATAAAAAAGCAGATAAAGAACATACACATAACTCCTTCTCAACTGTTGCTATAGAAAGTATTGAAGGAACGGTTGGCGGAACTGGTGGGGATGCTTTATATTATAAACCTCCTAACTTTCCACAAGGTTTAACATCGAATGAAAACATAACAACGAAGAAAGAAATTAGCTGTAAAAATGTTTATGTCATGGATGATGAAAATAATGTTAAATTCACTGCTCAAGATTTATATGATAATAAAGCTGACAAGAACCATACACATGAAT